TCCAGACGATTGCCGTGCGCCGACCTTCAAAGGTTACTGCGGACGCCCTCAGCTCTCATCCTGTTCACTCATCAACTCCTATGCAAGTTCATGTTCGACAAGACAGCGTCTCAGACCCTATGTGTCGTGTATGTCATAATGGAATCGCTGAAAAATCTGGGCTCTGCTCTAGCTGCGACAACGATTCTATGCCCGCCAGTCCAGTTGAGATCAGTCCCAACTTCTCTCGACTTCACCATAAACCAACAATCAAGAAGTACAACCGTCCGCCTCCGTTGATTCCTCAGTCTTTGGACAGTATCGCAAAACTTCATCGTCCTTCTACCTCTATCACCTCTAACCCTGAAGCAAACCAGCTTTCGCCGCCGACTTCACCAAGATCTTCTTGTAGTAGCCCAGCTGAGACAATTAAGACCTTTGCCAGTGGTCCTTCTGTACCTCCAACACCAATGTCAGCGCTATCAACACCAGAGGTGTTCAAGCGCTTCCAAGAAGAGGTTGAAACTAGAGCCAAGGCTGATGACAGCCCTTCGTTCGATGATCCATGGATGATCAAGCCCAAGAGTCCCGAGGCCGATGTCTATGAGGATGATTGGGCGGATTATTACTTTGACGAGCAAAACTTCAATCCTGAGCAGGGACAGCGTGCAATGAAAGGGCCAGCACCTGGTCTGCCCGTCGTTGCAAGCCCAGTCTGCCCAGGTCCAGGATGGATATAAGACGTTTGTACAAGAGGAATTCCCTGTAAAAAGATTGTATCTTGTGTGTGTTCAAATTTTAGGTAGCGGGTTGTCTTTTTTTTCTTCTATATCCCTGTCAGATAGCGATAAGCGTCTTTTTCAATCATGAGTCTATGTTCTATCATAACCATCTCTTTCATCTCTTCGTGATATCTTTCTCGTCTATGTAATCTAAATCTACTTTTTATCGTGTCTATTTTCACTATAGAATCTTCGTAACGGTCAATCCACTGGAATCTCCACCTTCGAGCTCTATCAGACCACCAGCTTCGAGCCTCTTCTTCCACTTGTTGCTCTCATAGCGCGCAAAAATTACCGTCATGCGTAGTGTGACATCGCTGCTCGAGTCATGCTCCTGCAGTGCTTCCGCAACGGGTGTGAACGTCCAGCGGCCAAACGCCCAGTTGAGGATATATCGGCCTGATGCACTGGGCTCTGGCTTGGGGACGTCCGGGTCCGAGTTTGTAGGCGTCGATGATAGTGAGACAAGGGCCTTGATGCGGTAGGCTTCGTCTTTGGGTGCAGAGGAGAGGAAGGCAAGAAGCTTTTCTGTCGAGATGCGCGCTGAGGAATCGGCTTTGAGAACGACGGATAGGACTTCGACTTCGCTCTGGTGGTTATGGGAATGGCCGTTTGATGTGCCGTTTGATGTGCCGTTTGAGTGATCATGACTGTGCCCGTTTGTCTTTTCGATGTCATCATCTGTCAACTTTTGCGCAAGGCCTCCGTCAACACCAAAAACCAGGTCTATTGACACCTTGCCCTTGTCGCTCTTGACCTTGGCAACATCCACCTCCAAATCGCCGACTCGGTCGAGACATTCGTCATATCGTAGCATGCTGACGTTCTCCCACTTGTTGAATACAATTAGATCGGTATATCGCGCTTGGATGCGGGCTGTGTAGCTCGTATCCTCGTAGCCCTTCCAATTCTCGACATCGATAACACTGATGACACCGTCGAGGACATATTTTCCGGACTCGCGTGCAAGACGGTTCACTTCGAGAGCAAGAGTGGCGGGGAAAGCAGAGCCGCTGGTCTCGATAACGATTCGATCGGGAGTGACGGTGTCTTCGAGTTCTTTGAGCGCGGGGCCTAGTTGGCCGACGAGGTTGCAGCAGATGCACCCGTTGAGGAGTTCCTGGACACCTGAGATGGCGGAGTTTGCGGCTAGTTGGGAGTCGACTGCGAGATCGCCAAATTCGTTCTTGAGGAGTGCGAGTTTGTAGTCCGGGTTCTGGGCGCGGAGTTGAGGGATCAGGTTGAGGATGAGCGTGGTTTTGCCTGAGCCCAGGAAGCCTGTGACAATGGTGATAGGAATTGGCGCCATCTTTGCTGCACTTTCCAAGGTTGCACGAAGTTGAAACTTGTACCTGAACGTGGAAACCAAGAAAAAGGGAACGGCGTCAAAGTTTTGTTCCTGATTTAATGCCTCTTTAGTGGTAGGCAAACAAAAGTATTGTTGGATGATAGTCAGCCCATCAGAACGGTCCGATAAGATAGACTTTTGGCTGTTATCGGGCCTTATCGGAGCGGCCCCTGTTAACCCCGCTGTCTGCGACTTGACGTCACCCACGAGATGCTTCACAGGTATGGCTTTGGGGATGAGTTTTGCGCCATTGCGTATGCCAATACCGGGGACATAAAGAACAAGGAAATCGCGGTAGTTGAAGGTCAGGGATAAGACGTTGTTCACCTTCCGCATTTACATTTTATCTTTCTTGACATAGATATCAATCGGAGCATCATCCTTCATCTGGAAACACGATCCGTACACCCAAACAAAAAGTGAAAGGAAAGCAACGAAACGCCAAGATGACTTCTCAAGACAAGAACGTCCAACAGGAGGAGGAGACCTTTAAGCGACAGCTTGACAGGGCTGCGGACACCACCCGCGACATGGAGAACCAGAAGCCCAACCCCATTGTCGAGAAGAGTATGTCTATTCCGTAACCTGTCTCAGGTTATTGTAACAGCATAGTAAATGCTGACATTTGATCAGTCACAGAATACGTCCCCGCTGCCGCCAAGATCCTGCCCGCTCGCCAAAGCCCTCCCAAGGAGGAGGAGAAGCCCCCAGGACCTCCAGAACGACCGCATCACGATGACAAGATTGAAGACTTTGTGAGGGACCAGCACAGAAGCCAGGGTGTTGACGGCATCTTGGGTGCTTCTCCTAACGACGAGTAATGGAGACTCTTGTGCTTGTTTTGTTTTTTGGCGCTGTATAATAGGTCTCCTAGCAATACCGTAATGGAATTATGATTCACGTGCTTGGATGTTGAATTGATCGATCGCGGAGTTGTTCAACACCACGCAATATTGAAAAGTGACGTGACTGACGCTAACTGGGATGATGGGCTACTGACTATCCTAGTCAAATGCAACAATCTTAGAGCCTCATGAGCTTAAATTCATGTGAAGGAAAAGCTCGCTGAGGTCTGGATCGACATGGGACATGATTGCACCAGTGTTACAGCAACCGCATGGAGCAGAGGCTGACGAGTTCATGCACGCGACGCATGGCAAGACAAGAGGCTGGAAATTTCAACAATTTACAATCAACGGTTAACCGTCAACAACCCCAAGCAGCATTCATTTACGCGCATTCAGAACTTCCGTTCTGAAGGAAGACCTGTCGCACACGAAATTTACTAGCAAAATCCTTATTCAGGATAATGAAATGTCCCCCCTTCTTGGCATTACACCGCCTACAGAAATCGCTGCGAAACAACGACCTGACGGAGAATTTCCTATATCCAAGGGTTTTTATCTACTGAGCGTTTCCCGCAATGGGAAAGGCAACGCGACACCGTGGGAGGTGACCCAAAGGTCGGGTGAAGGTCGTGGCGGCTCAGAAAACATTAAAAAAATGCTTTTTGATCTAAGGAGCAAAAGTAAAATAGATCGGGAGAAGTTCGAGTTTATATAGGTATTGGAAAACTGGAAGAGTGGGGTCTCGGGATCAAACTCGGGGTTACTAAGCAGAGTTTTTTTCCCTTAGCTCGGCGGGTGGTTGGTAGTGGGCACCAAGCCAGGCTAGCAGGGTCCTACCGGTGCTAACGATGGGACCTTGCGAACCAGAGGTTTTAAAGGTTACCCTACGTCAATATCAATCAAGTATTTAGGTATGTGCTATATTCCTTACTTATAGGAATAATACTAAATATTAACTGTTATTTATCACGGTTTAGTAGTAGGAGTTTGCTGTGTACCATGTAACATATATTCATATGCGGGTTGGTACTGTGTATATCTCACTTATCTGGTCAGTTTAACAACCAAGAATGCTTCGTCAGTTTATCGGCAGGACCACTTACAGAACTCAAATCCCAGAGATTAATTATATCACCCAATGAGCATCTAGTATTTCCATACAAGACCTCGCCGTATTCGATCATTATCCTGGTTGTGATATTGTGTCGAATATGGAGTCCGTAGAGTAAGGTGGCATGGAACTGAATTCGTAGCTTCGTTCAATATCTGCCAAACACCAACGCATTAACGTCCGACACCCAACTCAATGCCAGTCTAACACATACAGACATAATTCATACGGCTGTGTGGAAACTTCTGTCCTGTCCAAGTATGATAAAAAAAACCACCTAAAACGCAAGTTGGAAGATTGATGAGAGCAGCCAAAAGGGAGATTATAGCATCCGCAGATAAAGCCATATTGCGAGGAGTGTACGGTAATTATTGGCTATTGGAGAGGTCAAAGGAACTCACACTCATGTAAATGATGGGATAGGTGCAGGGTGTGATGAAGGCTGTCTGAAGACAATGTTGTGTATTATGGGTGAGTTCTCTCTCATACGAGAGTTGAGTGGATGGTACATCAATGATTTGAGCTCACTGTACTATCTGCCAGGTCTGTCAGTCGATCTCACTACAGTATTAAAGTCTCAGCTAGGTGGGTTTGGTAACCAACTATTACGCCATTTCATCCATGGATCAAGCATGCATCTTTTCCAACAAGAAATTGGGGAATGCCAGGCAGAGTATAATCTCACCCAGGTAGGTTATCCCGTGTTAGACATCTCAAGTTCTGGAACTAGAGAATGATGGTGAAGTGCAAGGACGACAAAATCACTTATGAGAAGAGAATCACAACTCAAAAAACAGTGGTAAAGATAGATGATATATATGGTGTTCACCAAAGAACAATTAGTCGTGAAATAGTTGACGAGGGTTGCCCATGGATGAATCACCCACGGCATATCGATATAATGTAAAATATTTCTGTTCTCTTCCACCAGTGGGGAGCTGGCGCAACGGTAGCGCGTCAGATTCCAGTGATCTGCTGATCTCAGCAGAATTCCTCGGTGATTCCTGAAGGCTATCGGTTCAAATCCGGTGTTCCTCACATTTCTTTTGCTCTTTTCTCCATTCCGAACTTGAGTTATTTTTTTCTCCCTCTTGCAACTCCTCTTTTTTACTTTCTAAGGGTCTGTCCCCGCTGCGAGATTAAGAGGCCCATTTCAGAGGCAGAACGACATCGAACTTGGGGAGCTGGCGCAACGGTAGCGCGTCAGATTCCAGTGAGCTGTCCAACAGCGTCTCTCGGGGATTCCTGAAGGTTATCGGTTCAAATCCGGTGTTCCTCATGTTACTTTTTTTATGATGTCGTGGTGTTTCTGGGACTTGTTTTTTAACGTTTGTCCCAATTTTACCTTACCTTATTTTACATGTTTTTGTAGACGGCTGGTTATCGTTTCTTACTCATTCTTATCCTTATCCGAATTGCATAAATCTCAAATAAGTCATGAATCCTCACAAGTCGTATGCGTGTGACACTTATCACAGAAATAACCTCTAAAGTCAGCATGGTATGCTTTTTATGTCCGACATCGCCGAGAACAGTCATATTAAGACAAAGAAGATAATATCTTATTGAATTTCGTTGGACATGTCGTTTTGAAGGTCGATCTCACGCCCTTGAATCGACAAGTGTGGATCATGGATGCGGCTGCCTTACACGCATCCACGATCTTACACCTTCCATCTCCACTTGTATCATTAACATCATCAGCACCAAGTGTGCACAGCCTCTGTGTGAGCCTATGAAGGACCATTAGAACGATATATTCTATCCTAGTGGGGCAAGGCAGTTTTTGTGCAAAGTATTGTCTACATCCTTAGGGAACATTCAACACGACTAACTGATATGTTCAGGTATAGCTACCATGTTTCTTATACGGACAAACTCTCCCATGTGTATCAAAACACCCCCGGTAACCCGGACCGCAGCAAGATGAGCACTGCCTGTAGATTAAGCTCAGGCTCTCCTCTCCACGTTAAAGCCGACAGAAACCAATGGAAGCTCCAGCGCCAGCCCCAGGCGCCATGACCAAAGCTTGATGCTTGACTCACGATGTCAAAATTATCAACAAGGAGGTTTATGTACGCCCTGCGCTTGACACAGCCAGTACAGGTTGCAAGGCTTCCTGCAAGCTTTCTGCAGAATGACAGGTATCCACATGTAAGGCTGAAGTTAACTCTAATGTATCTTCGTCCAGATATATAAGTTCGACTCGTGCCATACAAAGAGACTTCTTCTTCCACCTATGCGAAACAACTCGGAAACTGCTGCGAGTCTCGGAATTGAATTGATATCTCTCCAAACTCGCTACCTTCGAAATGGCTACCGCTACAACGCTACAGCCTATTGGGTCGCCCTCGCTTTCTATCTCGCATCAACATGCCATGCAACCATCCTCGACCAAACACAACGATGTGGTAAACATGGACGAGGTCGTTCATCTTGCCACCCTCTGCCGCAAGAGCCTGGTCGACCTTGACCTCCATATGCCCGAGTTCAACCCGTCTCATCCTTTCACTGTAGATGAGATCACGGCTCTGCCGCTGGACAAACATCGTATTGATGATACCCTTCATGACCTCCCTCGACGCAAGTCTGCTCGTCATAACCTTGCCGTAGCTATTGCTCCGTTGCTTTACCCTGTACATGATGGTTCGTTGACGGCCATCATCCGCTTTGAGGCAGACCGTGTACGTCTTCGCGCCTGGGCCGTCCTGCAGCGACGATATGACATGTTGCAGGCCACCATTCGCAATGGTCACAGCACCAGAGGCCTCTCTGGTGGTGCCGCACCTGGTGTCCAGGCACCTATCTGGGCTTCTCGCATCCTATCTCAAGGCGCTTGGGACCCTGCCAAGCACCCCATCTCTCTCAATGGCGTGCCAGCTATCCCTATGCCTGTCGAAATTGCTCACGAGGCTGACCTTGCTCCCTTCTTGGCCCATCTTGAGGAGGGTGGTACTTTTAAGTTGAACGGCGACGAGAAGGGCTTCGAACTGGATGGTGGACGAGGCGAACCCTACTACGGTGTCAAAGGCGCCGAGTTTCGCAAAGGTGTTGTGTACGAGGATGGCCGTATGGATCTTTGCAAAATGGTCGTCGGCCCTGACTATATCGGCAAACTGATGGATTCCCTTCGATCCAATGAGTTCGTCCAGCATTTCCTTTTGGGCAATAATATTATTGGCCCTGTTGGTGCGCGTGAGATTGCCAAGTTCATCAACGACCTACCCAACAGGATCGACACTTGGTATCTTGCTGGAAATTGCATCAACGGGCTCGGCCTGAAGGAGCTCACCGATGCCATGGTCAAGTCGGAGGCCATCACCAATATCTGGCTGAAGCGCAATCCGCTTGGCGCAGAAGCTTACGAGGACGTGTACCGCCTCATCACCGGAGTCAAGAACTTGCGAACACTGGACCTTGACCAGACCCAACTTGGTGACCAAGGAGTTACGGATCTTTTCAACCACCTGGCTGACCACAAGATGCCCGAGGGTGTAACACTCCCCCTGAGGCACATCTATCTCAACGGAAACGGCATCTCAACCAAGGGTGCCACGGCCATTGGCAAGTTCCTCTTGTCACCGCACTGCGGCTTGACCTCACTCTACCTGTCGTCGAACCCACTTGGCGATAATGGCGCAGCAGCTCTTGCTCAGGCGCTACCCAAGGCACCGTATCTGACTCGATTGCTCTTACAGTCGATTGGAGTCAGCACCAAAGGTGCCATTGGGATCTGCAAGGCTGCTGCCGGCCATCCTACCCTCGAGACATTTGACCTGGGCCAGGCCTATGCCACTCATGATCTCGGACAGGCCTACAACTACATCGAGGACGATGCTGTGCCCACTATTCAGCATCTCATCCAAACAGAGAGCCGCCTGGCATATGTCAATTTTGGATATATGCCTATTACACCCCCAGCACTCAAAATCATCTCGCAGACAGTGCTCAAGAACCCTACGCTTGTCTACTACTCAGCTTACTCAGTTCTGCCGGACCCAACCCTCAAGCCGGCAACCTTCAAGCCTACGGTTGGCAAACACTTTGCTAACCCAGCTGAGCAGACCAAACCTCAGATCGTGATGAAAAAGGCTGTTCAGGACCACCTTACTGCCAACGTCAAGGCTCGCTATGGCGAGGATACATCGTACAGCCTGTTCATGGAGGAGGAGAGACGCTGGCTCGTCAGCGACAAGACCGATGTGCGCAAAATTGACAGCGTATATCGCAATCGCGATGCTGGGCTTGCGCGTCGTCGACTCCTGACTCTGGTCAAGAACTGGGAGGAGGGCGATGAGACTCTTGACCGTGTCATGACTGCACATGCGCCAACATGCTCTCTGCGTCGACACTGAGCTGAGAGAGGCACAGAGTGTAGCAAGGAGACTGAGAGGAGGAGTGCTTGCTCACTGACTTACTCACCTGGTTGCGTGACTCGACGAGTCTATCACGTTGTTTGAGATGGATTGCTGTCGCTAGTAGTATACGGATAACTAGTAACCAAAATTGATGACCGGCGTGTTAAAATATAGAACTCAACATTGTGATGTTATGTTTTTCACTGATGTTTTTACATATATCCATTGACGACTTTTGCTTGTCTAAGTGTATGTTTATTGATAAACTCAGTTGACTGTCAGTGATATCAGCACGTGATAGCGTCCGCTGCACCTGCCCGCAGCCTAGACTGCAACTGCGGATTGACCTGATCGCAGGACATGACTTTGCACTTGGATTAATACTCTCATACCTACTCTGTATACCAAACTCAAATCTAAATAACACTCGTTTATCCTGAGGAAATTTAACGTTTTATTATCCGCGCGTGCTATCAAGAGTCCTACAAGCCGAAGCCATACAAAAACCGCGCCCCCGATACACTTATAACCCAGGCGCATCGCATCGCATCGCATCGACTTACAATAGAGAGCACCCCTACCACCCACCCACTAGCTCAACACAGCTCAACTCAACTCTTGCTTGACCACGACCTCGTTTTCTACATCAAGGCGAGGGTCGCACAGCGATGCCCCAAAAGCGCAAGCGACCAGATCCAGACCCCGCCGAGTCCGAGTCCGCTTCTGTATCCGCACCCACATCCAAACCCATACCCAAACCCACAGCGCGTAGGGCGACGCGTCAAACCCCGGTTATACCGCCAACACCACCACCAACAGCAACAGCGCCAGCACCAACATCGCCAGAGTCACAGCCATTACCACTGCCACTGCTACGTACCGAAACTGCTGTACCGCCGCCTGCAATACCAACGTTGCCGTCAACTTCTCTCAAAACGAAACCGTCTCCCGAGCTGAAGCGCAGCCGTGCATCGAACGGGCGTGCCCAGCCTCTGTCGCAACCCACTACAATTGCCCCGAACAAGGCGCAATCCCAAACCTCTCCTCCTGTATTGCGATGGGCTCCGCTTGAACAGCCAGGCCCAGCGATACGGCCTCCAGCAACCATGACAGCCATCCCCCCACCTCGACCTACCGCCGCTGGTCGCCCGCCTTCAGACCTTGTTGCGCCCGAGATTACTTATCATGTACCTCAGTCGCATGCAAACTCGCTACAGCGGGCTTCAGCTCTCGTCCGGCCATATGGCCCTACAGCGCAGCCACCACGTATACTCGAGCGGCCGCCACCCCCGACAGTCACACCAGTTCACCCGCCGAAACCTCCTATGGCCTCGTCTGTACGCCAGCCTCCACGAGCTGACCGCAACATCGATAAAGTTGTGTTGGGTAATCTGTGCTTCAGTACTTGGTATCATAGTTATGACGGAAAAGAACTGCTCGGTGAATCACCAAGCAACTTAGCAAAGATGGGTGGTAAAGATGCAGGTGCCAAAGACCAAACTACAGGCGGCAAATCATCATCTCGACGAGATCGTGAGCACCATCCTGTGGTCGATCGTCTCTACGTTTGTCCCAGCTGCTTTAAATATTCCAAGGAGTTGCTGCCCTGGTGTCATCACGTCCATGTCTGTGAGCGGAAGACCCAAATACCAGGGCGCAAGGTCTATGTACATCCACGCGGACGCAGAAAGATCCTTGTCCCACACGACACTAAAGCCTCTGGGCCCAAGAGACGAAAGGGTGAGGGAAATATTCGATACGTTGAGGAGATTGTGCAAGACGAAGGAGAATGGAGTATCTGGGAGGTGGATGGTGAGAAGGACGGGGTAAGTTCAAGTTTACATGACACGATACCGAGAGCCATAACACTGACATTGCTTTTTAGCTTTTTTGCCAGAACCTGTCGCTCTTTGCAAAACTT